TCAAATTCTTATGAATAAGCTTCATTGTTGCTTGGTCGGTTGAAAGTAAAAGACTTTATCCAATGGCTGGTAGAATTCAATTACTTAAATTTATTAATTAGGGTTATTTATATTATTGGTTTCTTTTTTCTACTTTGCCTAAAGGTTCTCGGAAGAAAATTTCTACTATGGTTAATAATTTTACTAATCATAATGATAATAATAAAAAATACATGTCATTGAATTCAATTTAGACCACCACTATTTAATCTAAAATGCTTATTTTTTAAATTTCTCCTGATCTTTTTTCCCTTTTGACTGGGTTTTTAGTTGAGCTATGATGTGTTCCATTCATTGCATAAAAAATCAACCATGCTTGTAAATATTTTTGGTGTTGAAATATTTATAGTATTTGGAAGATATTTTAATATTTTTTTATTAGGAAAGTACTGAGCACATTTTCTTTTTCTTCTGTATTTTCTTCTTTTGCTTCTTTATTGTTATTACCCTGTTTTTTATTGCATTTTGATTTTTTATTGCATTTTGATTTTTTTTTTTTGGTGGCTATATTGGATTTGTTTTAATTATTGTTTGTTGGCTTCTATTTTTTGGATTTGATTTGAGTACCTGATTTTCGTTTGACAGCTGTTTTTTTTTTCTTTTATTATTTATCTTATTATTATTAACTGTTTTTATCTCAGTGTAAAGATACATAAATTTTCTTGGTGATCTAGTAGGTGATATTTGATTTCTCATCTATGTTTAATGTTGCCTAGTCATTTGAAGATGTTCTCTAGAGCAGATTTTGGTGTTGTTATTAAGTTCATTTTGTATTTAAGATCATTTGTGACATTTTTTTATTGTTTATTTGTTGTTTTTGTGTGAAGTTATTTTTGTTTTTGTTTTTTTGGCTATCCTTTATAGTTATTTTTTTTTTTTTGTAATAAAATTGGGTGTGGCCCTCAATTTCCCAAAAAAAAATTTATATATATATATATATATATGGCATGTTGGTGACGGGGTCACTGTAAGTCCCCTCAGGTCAAGGGTTTGATCATACTGTGACGCGAGAACTTTGGAAGGGCGTAAAAGCGCATGAGAAATCGATATTTGGGTCTTTGTCAAATATCATTTTCTTATGAATATATATATATATATATATATATAGTAAATATAAAAGCAATAACAAAAATATTAAAAATGTTCTTAAACCGACCCTAGGCGCTATGGAACAATAACAAAATTTTATGTCAGAATTTAATGCGTCTTACTCTCACTATATATATCCACCAATCTATAACCACATTTTGTATTTTGAGGGGTTTACTTCAATACGATTTATATTTTCTTTATTTTAATATCAAACTGATGAAATAAACTATTAAATTTATGCATTCTCTCATGAAATCAAGGATTTTAAAAAATATTAAGAAATTAATAAATCATGGCAATGCACATGGACTGGTTATGCTCTACAATAATGCAGCATAACAGACAGAATACGTTTATCGAATAATGTCAAACATACTTTGTTAAAGTTATGTTCTAAAGCAGTTCTCCGATGCATTATTGCAAATATTCTACGGGCCATGGAAAAAATCAAGAATCCCATGAGTGTTCTGATTCGCTATAAGCTTCTTGGAAATTTCTTCTCAAAAGCCTAATATAAATAACTTATTTCCATTTTTTGTTTTATATTTGTAAATACAAATTTTTAGATATTAGAAGCATAATCTAAACTGAAAGATTAAACAAATTCCAAATCAAAGAAGCCCGGATCAAGCTTATAAACCACTTTTGGAAGCTCTCAGTGCATAATTGGAACAATAAATAGATTCCAAATTTAACAAGCTTATGGTAAAATGGAGCGTCCCCGCAAGACAAATCCAACGACGCTCAATTCTGACACCATTAAGATACTTAAATGTTCTTTGAATGTCATTTGATTGAAGGAATCTCTCTATTATGTTGGATGGAGTGGTTTGGATTCATTGGTTATTTGCAGAGACCCCCCCAGACACTATATACCCCGCTTGAGAGGGCACCTAGACCCGAAATCAAAAGAAGACTAGAGCTTACAGAAACAGTTGAAGCTCAACATCATTCTGCCCCAAAGATCTGACCGATTCCTCCAACTCTTGTAGTCGTCGAGCACTATCAACTACCACCTGTCGACCATCGTCGACCACTATTAGCTACCACCCGCTCCTGGCAATGGAGTTTCTTGTGGATTCACAACTTGAATTGCATAATCTCATTGTAAACTGCGAAACAGTAAAATGCACGATAGAGTAACAAGTCGTCTAGTACATCATATAATAATGCACCTCAAACATGATGCAATGATACACCCTGGTGATGGTATAACGACACATGTCTCACATGGTTCCGACAATGCCTTCTGAAGACGATGAAACAATGCACCCTAAATGTGGTGCAACGATGCACCAAAAAAATGGTGCAATGACATGCCTCGATGAAGGTGTAATAATGCATCCCAAATACAATGCAACAGATGCAACCAAATATAGTGTAATGATGCACCTTGAATACAGCGCAACGACTAACTCCGATGATGGTGTAACGATCCCCCCAAATTATGGTGTGACAATGTCTCCCGAATATGTTGTAATAAATCTTCCCACGTACGTTGCAACAACACACCCTGATGATGGTGCAACAACACACCCTGATGATGGTGCAACAACACACTCCACATACAGTGTGACATCACTTCACAAAGATGATGTAATAATGCACCATGAATATAGTTCAACGACAAACCCCAAATATGGACAATGACACTCCTCAACGACGATGTAACAACACACCCGTATATGATGTGATGATGACTCCGGAAGACGGTATAACAATGCACCTTGAATATTATACAACAATGTGCCCCAAATACGGTGAAACGATACACCCCGATGATAGTTTCAAGAGACAACATATACACCTTTCAAAGACGGTGTAATGATGCACCATGAATATGGTATGTGCAACAACACACATTGATGACGGCGTAACAACACACCCCACATACGGTGCCTGTTCTCTCCCAAAAATGGTCTAACAATAATGCATCATGAATACAATTACTTTCTCCGAACTCCTAAGGCTCTCTACTTGTAGCTCCCTGCTACAACCGACGTGAATAGTTATGGCCTCTAGCTCTTGCAATTCCCAAATCCGACCCTTGCAGCCTACAGACGTTGACACAACTCACCACTATGGCCTACACTAACAACTATGTCCTACATGACTTATAGATTGTGCAGCTCTCAACTCTATACTCGATGTTTTACGGATGTTATCACAGCTTATGCAGCTCTCAACTCCAACTGTGGCGGGCTATGGATGTTATCATAGCTCGTATAGCTCCTTACTCTGGCGAATGTGGCTTACACACATTATCATAGCTAGTGTAGCTCCCAACTCTAGCCTCGATAACCTATGAACATTATACAATGGTGGCCTACGGACACTATCACAACACGTGCAGCTCCCAACTCCGTCCATGATAACCTATAGATGTTATCAAAACTCAAGCAACTCCCAATTTCAATCTTGGTGGCCCACGAACGTCATCAAAGCTCACTGTTACGACTTATGTGACCAATTATGACTTACATTATCCATAAGTCGTGCAGCTACTAACTCTAGTTCCTATGGTCTACATATATCATTACATCTCGCCACTACGCTTATGTGACTAACTATGGTGTACATGACCCACTTCTTGTGCGCTCCTCACTTTTCAGTTGTTTTTTTTTTTTTGAACTACCGAATCATGTATGTACATGCTCCACCATCAAACCTTTGAGAAGTTGATAAAAATGAGTTGTTGCTTTATCATGAATTTAGATATTTGAGTGAGAATTTAATAAATAGATGAAATATTGTGCTTGATTTGTAAATAGCAAGTTTCGGGTGGGTTGTATGTAATTGCCCCTTGTTACATATACAATTTCCTACTTGAAATAAGATATATATATATATATATATCTTACTTCGAAGAGATTAAGGATTTTGAAGAGGGCTTCAAATTCCGAAATATATAGTCTAATTAAGTTTGTTTCTCGTCTTTTATTGTGTTGCTTTCGGTTTCATTTCTCTAAGGTTTTACAGCCAAAAAGCATATTAAAATAATGGGTGCCAGCTTTTTTGAACTATGAAGTCTTTTACTTTTATTTCATGTAATAACTAGTACTATTTGTATGTATTTTTGAAAAAAAACTAATATTTACTAACAAACTTAGTGGGCAAGTAATTTAATAATTATGAAGAGTTATATACATACATACAACTTAACTACTATATATTTACATATCTAACACCTAAACTTCAATTTTTACATATATATATATATATCCTTATCTAAGTATGAAAATGTGCATGCTACCTTCTAATTAATGTCAAAAGTAGTGATATTTTTTAGTTGCGATATTTTTAGGTAATATGAAAATTTTGGGTAGTATAAAAGTAAAAGAGCAGATTTTTGGTGGTTGATATGTAAATTCATGGAATTGGATGATATCTGTGCAAGTGGCCCTAAACAATTATTATGATTCTCTAGTCGCATCAGGCTAATCAAAGCTTAAAAAAAAATGCTTTTGTAAGAGAAAGAAATGCATCGACATCTTTGACAGATTGCTTGTTGATATTGTTTAATGACTAAATAATTTCTGTAAAAAATTTACTTAGGCGTATCATATATTGTTGTCAATTTTCTCAGTAACATTATGTTTTTAAGGTTTTAAATTTTTAAAAGGTCAGCTCACACAGTCTATCATAGCTGCTTCTCACACACCATGGAGTAAAAAATGTGATGCATAAAGCATTTGTTTTTATTGAAGAATTTAAGGAAGCTATTATTTAGATTCTTAATTTTTAGGCTCGAGCCGGGAAAACATTACGTGCAACGAATCACAAGTTTGGGCAACTGTTCGGATGCGATCATGCCAACATATATCACGGGTCAGTCGGCACTTAATGCGTCTTACTGGAGAAAGGGCCAAGCAAATGTAACATGGAGTAAGAGATCTGAAAGCTCTTTTTTGCCACAAACCTCGCAAACTATAATACTAAATATGTACAGCATCATGCCATAAGTACTCAAGTTATACGTACGTATGCATGAAAGCAAAACTAAACGCACGTCAAGATATATTCTACATTGCGCTACTACATGAAAGCAGATGACTCAAACCTACATACCACTTCTAAACATAAAAGTGAACAAAACTACATGCCTTAACTTAGACAACAACTATACCCCAACGCTTCACCGCGTACTTTATGAGTTCCTCCACCTCATCATCGCCGTCTATGTGCTTATTATGGTTTAGGTCCGCATGCACAAGGGCTCTCCAAGCCTTCCATCGCGAGCAGCTCTTGCCAAGCACACGAAGGGCGTCGCGCAGCTCCTGCCGGCTGATCTTGCCATCCCCGTCACGATCGATGCTTTTTAGCCACTCCCTGAACTGCTTCACTGTAATCTTGTTATCGTTAGAAGAGACAGGCGCAGTGCGAAAAAGAACCATTTTGCAGTGCTTGCTTTGTGAACTCAAGAAGCCAGGTTAAGCTTATTGAGGGTTGAGGAGGAATACGGAAACCTTTGGACTATTTAAAGATTAGAAAAAAAAAATGGAAGATGGAGCAGGTGAGTGCCATTCTGTAGGCTCCCATTGGCTTGGGAGTTGATCCGTTAACATTACTGAGTTATGTGGCGATAGAGAATTTGTTCCTGTGTGACGCCCCTGGGCAAGCTAGCTTGCTATAGTGAGCTTTTAATAGCTTTGTTCCATTTCCTTTTGGTTTAGGGAGGGAGGGAATTTGTTGATTCTTTTTGGAACGGTACAATTCCTTCTTATCGCTTATGTGGCTTGGGCGGTGGAGTGTCATTGAAGTTTTGCAGTTCGCTGCTGTGCTGTGTGATGCCCAGCTTATGCTGAGTACCTAGAGGTAATTTTAGTTATGCGAGAAGTAGGGGTTATATAGCTTCGAATAGTTTATGTGTATTGGGAAATCAGGGTTCGATCCCCCGTGGCACGAGATTCTCGAATAATTGCACTTGATGAGGACTTCTCATCATAGACCCTTCAGGGTTGGAAATCGATATTTGGGCCTCTGCCAGAAATCGATATTTGGGCCTCTGTCAAATACCCATTTCCTTTAATAATATATATATGTATACCTTTAATAATATATACTTCGGCACATTAAACTTATGCATAAAATTATGTATTTCAATTTTAAGAAAGAATAATCAATAGTGTTATTTTTTATGTGATATTTATATATATACATATTTGTTATGCCTATATATATACATCCAATGAAGATGGGAAGAAGAAAATTATCCAGTAGAAGCTGGAAGAGCAAAATGATGAGGGCAGAGTCTGCAGAAAGCTAAGTATCCCTCACTATTTCATTCTATTGTGTTAGGAGGAGAGAAGGTTGCTAGGTGGACCACTGGTGAGAGGCATGAAGTAATCATCTTTACACTCTGGAGTTTATCGATGGTCCAGAGTTTGGATTGTCAACTTGTCTATGAGAAGCTTGTGTTGGATGGCCGAGAGTGATTTAGAAAAAATGCCCTTTGTTTGATCAGGAGACATGATATATATGTTGCAGGTTGATCTCAGCTTGTTTAAGGTAATCACGATAGAAGTGAAAGTTCACCTCAATATATTTCGTTATGGAGTGAAAAATTGGATTGTGCATGAAATATATCACTACAGGAGAAAGTCAATATTAGCGTCCAACATTTACATCTGAATTTACCAATGTAAATATTAGCATTGAATTTGCGGGTGCTAAGCGGTGAATAATAAATTTTAAAAATTGTGTTTGATTTGCGTCCGAAAATTTGACACAAAAAGACTCTGAAAAGAGTGAAACTTTATTAGAGTTGCGACGGTTTTTGCATTGTATATGCATCAGACTAAGCGACAAAACATTTGTTTGTTAGCGTCGAATTAAATGAGCACAAATCCGACACAAATGACCTAGTATTCTCATTCCGAGAGCCTAAATTTCAGCTCTTTCCTCTTTGAGCTATGCCGTCCTCTCATTTGCTCAAATCTCTCGCTCTCTACTTTCCCTTTCCCCATTCCCTCTCCCTCGTGGATTCGCTCAAAACCATTGTCTATCGGGATACAACCACCATTAGTGCTAGCTAGCTTAGCAGGGAAGATAACGACAGTACGCAGCTTACAGAGACCACCGAAACTCTTGTCGTTCTCATCCTTCCACTTCGCTCTAATCAGAAAACATTTAGGAAGGTAATTCCATCTGCGCTTTTAAATCTTTGTCATTTAAATTTTTGTTTAGTTATGTAAATGTGATGCATATGTAAAAGGTGAAGTTTAGGTGTTAGGTATGTGGTATGTATGTAATGCGACATGTATATAAAAGTTACAGTTTATGTCAAGTATGTATATACATAAGAATTGAGTGGTATGTATGAACATCTTTATAAAAAATGATGATTTTGTCTTAGCTTATATACATAAGTATTGATTGGTATGTATGAATTCATAGAAGTTGAAGTGTAGGGGTTAGCTATATAAATACATAAGTTTTGAGTGGTATGTATTTACCTATTTGTAGAATTCAAGTTGGCCGGTTAAAGTGAAACAATATATTTATCAGTCTTGTTCAAATTGATGGTGATATAGAATAGGACGTTATTACTAGTATTCATGTTGGTTGACTGAAGTGGAGGAACAACACGATCCGGTCTATTGCTCAAAATGATAGTGATATAGATGAAGATGTTATTCTTAGAATTTATGTTGTTTGGTTGAATTTGAGGAATGCATCGATCAACCAAATATTCGAAGCGAGGGTGATATAGATAGAGATGTTATCAGTTAAATTATTGTTTGTTGGTTAAAGTAAAGGAGGTCATCTGATGTTGTTCAAAGTGATGGTGATATAGATGGGTTTGTTATTAGTATAATTTAAGTTGGTTGCTTGCAGTTAGTTGGTTAACCAAGTAGTGTTGACTTCTTACTATAATTATTGACTAAGTTTTATTTACATAGTTGTTGCACTGACTTGTAAAACACATTTATGCTTTATATGGATATCCATAATTTGAGAGCTTGGATGTATGACAAATTATAGCCAGAACGAAAAGGACTCACAGATGAGTTCTTGAATGGAGTTAAGGAATTCGTGCAAGTGACATCACAACTGCCCATCTATCATTCTAAGGGTAAGTTTCGTTGTCCTTGTGCAAAGCACAAACATCAATCACTTATGCCACCCGAAAAAGTTAATTGGATCTTTATCTCAAAGGATTCAAACCTAATTGTTGGTACTGGACTGTTTGTGGTGAGCAAGAACCTGAATTTTAGTTCAACCAAGGAATTTATTCTATTATGCCCTTATGGAGGGTAGATTAATCTACACTGTGCTTAATAGTAAATTGCTCTCACATAGCATTTACCTTTCCTAACAATGTCTTGCTTGCCTTTCTTGTTTGATAAGTTTTATCCTCCATTCAGAGGTGCCTCGACAAGTTATGCACCCCATTCAGAGAAATTTTATCCTGGCACTTATAATGAAATGGATCATGATGCGTAGATAGCTCAATTTGTTGGGAGCGCTCGACACAAAGCTGAAACATCCAATAATGAATCACAACAATTTTATGACTTGTTGAGTGCTTCACGACAACCTTTATGAGATTGTTACACAGCACATATAGAGTTATCAATGGCGTTGAGAATGTTGAACATCAAATCTGATTTTAATATGCTTAGAGAAGCATTCATTCCGAAAACAACTTTATTGAAAGTGAAAATTTAGTGTTGGTATGATTTGTACAGAATGAAAAAGTTGGTTTCAAAGTTAGGGTTACAATGTGAGAATATCAATTACTGTGTTAATGGTTGCATGATATATTATAAGACTAATGCAGTCAAGAGATTTGACGATGGTGCGAATAGATTCAAACAATAGGAGGAAAAAATAAAAATCAGAAAAATACTCAATACAAATGTCTACTTTATTTCCCGCTCATACCCCAGCTTTAAAGATTGTTCGCTTTCATGCATACATCCCTACACAGGACTTGGCATAGTATTAGATCGGTTGATGCTAACTCGATGAGTCATCTGTCACATTGTGAGACCTAGATATATTTTGACTGTACTTACCCCGATTTTACAACTAAAGTACACAATGTTTGACTTAGGTTATGTGTGGATGGCTTCACCCCGTATAGTCACGCTGCAACCTCATACTCATGCTTGTCAATGATCATTACACCGTATAATCTGCCTCCCCTCAATATGTGTATGATCGTGTCGTTCTTATTTTTGACTCTGATCAAACCAGGTCCACAAAGCTTGAGGGGGAAAATTGACGTCTACTTACAGTCTTTGATTGAAGAGCTTCAAATGTTTTGAGAGTCGAGTGTGCTTATGTATGAGATCACTTCAAAGTAAAATTTTCAACGGAGAGTGTGTCTTATGTGGACAATTAGTGATTTCCCAGCCTACGGATGTTAGTTGGTTGAGCACATCTAGGAAATTGGAGTGTCCTTATAGCATGGATATGTCGAAGGCATTTACTCTGACATATAGTAGGAAAAATAGTTGGTTTGACCCACCCCACCTCGTGTAGGCCCCCACCCCTACCTCCCCTATGACTACAGCGGGGTTGAGTGCATCAGAGGCCAACGTTTCCTCTACCGGGCAGGAGTCGATAGACAACAGCTACCGTATTGAGCCTATAGGTAACACGTAAGTTTTTTAAAGATATTGTCAGTAATCATTTTATTTTTTCAATTGAAGATAAAACTAATAAAATATTATTTTAATGTTCTATCCCCCGCCTCCCCAATCCAGACTATTCATGTCATTCTGGATATCATTTGGAGTAAGTACAACTCAACATACTTGTTGTGGAAGGAGATCCCAATGGTCAGTCGAGATCTTTGTTTCAGGAGTTTTTGGTAAGTAGCATTCACAAATAGCTTAAGTTGTTTTTATTTATTTATCAATTAAACATAATCCATGTAATATTTACAAAAACATATCTTACGACACTCTGAGCATGAGACGCACATCTAGCATAACTTCAAGCGCAAGGGCAACAATCGCATCCGGTACATATTTGGCAATATCCAGAAATCGTGACAGCGCCCTATGTGGCTCGAAGAGGATTTTTTTGCCACGCCGCTTAGTGCTTGGGATTCTCCGGATTATCTGAAGAAGAGGGAGCAGGCAAAACAGAACAAGCATTCAGACTGTGGAGGCATGGGGCCCCTCAAGCACACTGATGGGGTACTCCCACATACAGAATACAAGCAAAGGATGATAAGATTTTATTTATTCTATAAAGTTTTCTATAGTTTAAAGATGTATTCTTTCTATTTCATTTTATGGACAAACTGTGGAGATTGAGTGAGAGTCCTCTACCGCTGATGTATATGAGCGCACAGATAAGAGGCGGTCTGATCAGTCTTAGATCGAC